ATTAAGGACGCACTGAGCATTAATTAGCCTTGTGCTTTTTTCTTTATTTTTGTTTACTTTATCTTTTTATTGATAAGTTTCTCAGTAACAGTGACTGATCTATCTATAAAAGACATCAGCGTTAGGTCATCTCTCTCCAGGAGTGGACTGGGACCAAATTTGGCCCTGGCATTTTTACCAATCGTCGGCCCTCCCAATTGGGAGAGCGGTGGGGGTGGGGGGTATTGCCGCCTGCGGACTCGTCCCAAGGTTGAATGTGAGATCTAATATAGACTGGGACTGTTAAATTACAAGCAGGGCCAGACCACTGCGGCCGGGAGCCCTGGCCTTCCAGATCAGCTCATTCTCCATGGGCGGAGATCAGCGGGACATTAGCTACATGCTAACGTGGTAAAAAAAAAAAACTCCTACGTCATCGCTCTACCACGTTTTTCTTGCTAAAAACACCTGGGAAAATTCTTGTTAGCTTCGGGTTACCGTGCAGCTAATGTTCTGCAGATCACCAACTGTGGAGTAGTGTCAGCCCAAGCTGGGCAAGCAGCCCACTTGGCCAAGCAGCCCACCGGGACAGTGCCAGAATGCCAGATAGGCCAGTCCACCCCTGTCTCTCTCTCTCTAGTAGCAGCAATAGAAGGCCAGAGAGTGTGATACATATTCCCAGCATGTGGTGGATTAATATATTAATACTTTGTGACACAATCCCCTCCTCCCTTCACATATTACTGCATCATAAAGAGATTACGGTCAGTGACAGGCCATGCCCAGGCAGGACCCTACCACCATGCCCAGGCAGACGGGGGGAGCTGACGGCACAAATGACAGTGTAGCGTAGAATTGAATCTGATGAAGCGTAAGGTTTCTGCCCCCTTTTTATTTTGACGTGGCTCCGCATGTTTTCAAATACCAATAAAATGAAACCTTTTGGTGGTGATGGTTCAGCTGGAGGGAGGAGACAGCAGGTGGGTGGGTAAGGAGGGGGAGGGTCTGTATGCAGACGCTGTTGTTCTGGATGTTGTGCAGGAATGTGTTAGCAAGTTCTGCAAGAGGGAATAAATGAGGAGTCTGCAGGAAGGCTGGACAGGTTGCACTCATGGCTTTGGCTTGTCTAGGTCTGGGCTGTGCGCCCGTGCAATCCAAAGGTACAATCTGTAACATCAGTGAGTATCCTCATTCCTCCTTTTCTCCCATTATACACAGCAAAGTCAGGTAAAATGACCAATGATATGTGGATTAAGTGTTGGTCATTTACTACAAAATTCAAGGTTTATAGCTGGAGTAGCTTTAGCAAGTGTTGTCTTGATGTGAGAGTGATCGCTTCAGTACTTAAGATTTTAGACATTAGGTCTAGATTTTTGCACATTTGTAGAAAAATAAAGTTAATACAATTGTCTGAGCTTATTTTAAAAGCTGTTGGATCCAGAGCCATGGGCACCATAATGTCTTATAAACTAAAGGACAGTCTGTCTTGCTAACATGCTTATACATTAAGAATGAAACTCAGAGAACAAAGTTTAAATTAATGAAAGCCATTAAATGTATTTGCAAGCAGTTTTGATTGACCATTCAGTTTTAACATGTTGCTGGTATATTTTTATATAAAACATTTTAAAAGTAAAGCTATCTCTATCTGACCAAATGATTAGGCTTATATGGAGATGAAGCATAAGGAGCGTCTGCATGTTTTAATTGTGACATTTGATACATGAAATAAAGTATAAAATGTAAATGTGCAGATGATCTAAAACAGTGTGCATGCGCGTGTGTGTGTGTGTGTGTGTGTGTGTGTGTGTGTGTGTGTGTGTGTGTGTGTGTGTGTGTGTGTGTGTGTGTGTGTGTGTGTGTGTGTGTGTGTGTGTGTGCGTGTGGAGCTGAGGCAACACTGCACAGATTTCCTTTGCAGAATTGGCCAGCTAGTGTTTCTTATATAACATCTGTCTGCTTTGACAAGATTCTGCAGCTACCACCATACGGAGCTTGCTGCCTGACCCAGATAGACTCTAATACATTTTCTACTAATGACTTACATTCACTCACATCTGTAGTAGGAAGAGAAATACAAAACCCTATAGCTGAGCCAGATGAAGCTGTTACATCTATGTTGTCATAGATAGTTTCAGCTCAATGACTTTTCATTTCTTTTCCAGCGCACTGTCCTTGTGAATTTGAGGAGATGTGTTCACTGACCTGCTGTGATCTGACTGATCCTCATGCTGATTTCATTTGCAAAGTTGAAATAATTTATTTTACTGTTGAAGTTAAAACTTGTTCTCCTCTTGTCCCAAAGTCCAGAATTCCTTCAAACAGAACATCCAAACCTGTGAAAATCTCAAAAGCTGCTGAGAACGCATTAGTGCTTCTGTGATCAACCTGCAACTATAGCGTACTGATATTCAATAAGCACAATTTAAAAATGCTTTTATATCCTATTGTGGGTATTTTGAAATGCAGGCTTTGCACTCATGTACAGCCATATTTGCATCTATTCATCATCTGTACCCACTTATCCATGCAGGGTCATGGGGGGCTGGCACCTATCTCCAGCGGTCTCTGGGCAAACAGGCAGGGTATGCCCTGGACAGGATGCCAGTCATTTGCAGGGCATCATAGAGGCCCACAGGACGCACAAACCAGTGCACACACTCACACCTAAGGACATGTTTAGGGAAACCAATCAACCTGGCAGTCATGTTTTTGAAGGAAGCCGGAGTCCCTGTGGAGAACCCACACATGCACAAGGAGAACGTGCAAACTCCATGCAGAAAGACCCCAGGCTGGGATTTGAACCCAGGACCTTCTTTCTGCAAGGCAACAGTGCTAACCCCTGTGCCCCTGTGCAGGCCTACATTTATATCTGGCAACAAAATGTATGCATAGACACAAATGAATGAATAAAAAAAAATCTATCAGTTTTTCAAATCTTTGCTGAATTTGGTTATTTTAATAAATAAATAATCTGCAGCTGACCAAAAGAAATACAATTAGGTTTAAAAAGCAGTTTTAGATTCAGACCACATCTCTTCTCTTTTTTTCCTCTTACAGAGCTGTAAGCAAACTTTAATGATGACAATGTCAGCTGTTGACTGCACCTGCAGACACAAGGATGGGGGAACCAGATGGAGAACAACAGTAAAAAAAAGTGTTAAAGAACCAAAAAGGACAGAAAGACGCTCCGTTAGTTGAGAGTTGTGGTCCACCATTTTCACGCTACAATATATTTGATGTCTCTCTATTTTTTCCTGGATATAATTAAAATAAGGCAATTCAGATCAGAAAGCCCCTTTTCATTTGTAAGGACTTTAATATTGTTCCCCCATGTTTTTCTGTCATTTGCGATTTTTGATGCATTGTTCAAGTTCTCAAAAATACAATTAAATGTAATTTTATCTACATTTTCTCCTTCTACGAAGAATTTTAAAACAAAAGAAATCAAAAGCTGCTGATTTCAGCAAGTACACAGTTATTTAGAGATCATTTTTAAAGGAATGAGGTTTATGCACTGATTTTTATAATACATCCCAGAAATATTTGGATCAGTTCTGGGCCATACAGCTCATGTGGATGTTACCCAACATAGTTCAAAGGTAAACCACATTCAGAAACGTCCACCCAAGGAGAGGAAGACGAACTGTGACACAGTTCAGGGCAGAAAGCTGCAATCGTTTGTGTAAATGAGCTTCCTAAACCTCGTCATTTCAATCAACCCAAAGCTGTTGGTGTGAGCTTGTTGAATTGGAAGAAAATAAAAGCCTTGATGAGCAATGAAAGGTTGCTTGGCTACTGATGTACGGCACGGCTTTCAAGGACACAATTACATGTTGAATATCAGGTTAAAAGCGAGGAAATAAGATTCATAAAGCTAGAGGATCTCTAAGAGCAGATAAAGGAGATGGATAATCACACTCCTCCCCTGGTGCCTAGCTTTAAAACTATTATACACAACACCCAGGACAGCAGTTGCTTTCTTAGTTTAATGTGTTTTAGTACAGTTTCGCTGCCTCCTGCTGGTCATGGCTGTAAAAAATGCATTAGAAAAAAACAAGGAGAGAAATATCATTTATAAAAATTTTCTTGGAAACATGTATCATGTTATTATATCATTACAGCATATTTTTGTGTGTTTGGCACCAGTGTGATGCAAGGATAGAGGAAAAGTGTAAAACCTTGTCTCGATCTGATCTTCTTGTGTTTTCTTTCATGTTAGCATAAAAGCAGCATCAACAGGCTTTTTCTGTTGATTTCATCCTTTTTAACACAAACAAAGCAGAACAGATCGGATGAGGAAGTACCAGAAGCTGACCTCGCTAGAAATGAAGGTGTCGTCTCCTTTCTTCGATTCATTGTAGATATCTGTGCTGCAACTTATTTGTATATTTCCACTGGATCTATCGTATATTGAACATGGCAGGATGATTGGCTAGCTGCGTCTCACAGCAGGTGTCTGTTCTGGTTGTTGAGCTTATGTTTATGTTTATGTTTATTCATTTAGCTAACCACTGCGCCACCATGCAGCCCAGTCAGCAGTTACATGTCCTCTGTCTGCTTGGGTTCACTTGGCGCCACTTTGGCCTCTCCTAACAAAGAGATGTGTAGATTAATCTGAGATTATTTTCAACTGAACATAACTATTGTCAGAGTCAAAGTGTCCTCCTGGATAGATGAAAAAATAATATTTGTACACAAATGTATAGAGATTTCATTCAAAGGCACAATACATTTCCTAAAAATGTTGAGTGTTTTGTTTTGTTTGATCTGTTCAGGTGTGAAAACATGTTTGTACTGCAAAGAAATTCAAGCATACTTCCAAATATTTTTATTTAGAGGGTTTTATTTTTCACGTGTATAAAAATGTTCTCTATCACTATTTTCTCTCACTTAAAGCATCCATTTTGTTTCAGTATCGAGGCATGAATACAGCGTGACAAACCTGGAAATTAGAGTCCTGAAATTTGAAATTTAAAACAGAAACGTGATTTTTTCTTCTCTGTCTCTTCTCATTTTAGCAGTGTCAAACTTAGACATTGAGAGCAAGCTGTCAGCTCACTATCAGGCCCAATGGCATCAGCAACACAGCATGTTCCATCCTTGTGCCCGACCACCGTGTCTGGAAGAGCTACACAGAAGTGCACAGCTCAGTCTAAGAGCGTTGCATCGAGGTAAGAAACGGATGTTGAAACACTGTTTAGAAAATCACTTGGTCAGCTTTCATGAACGTTATATTTTTATTTACTGATGCATAGATGAACAACATCAGCGTTCCTCCAGTCGGGAGAGAAACAGGGTGACCATCGCCATCTCTGTGGCGCCTCCCATGCCCACCTTTCCCTCACCGCACAGCATCCGCCGCCAACAGAGGAGTCGCCTAGCACGAGCAGTGAGCTCAACATACTCTTACAATAGGGACTGCAAGGTGATGCAGCTGGTGGCACTGTTGCCTCACAGCACAGCTCAAATCCTGGCTGCTGCCTCTCTGTGCAGACTTTGTATTTTCTCCCCATCCACCAATCATTTGATTGATTGAATGGCAAAAAGTCCACTTCAAGTTTGTTTGCATAAGTTGCGTAGGCAACCACAAAGTGCTGAACAAGAGTAAAACAATAAAAACATAGTCACAAACAACACGCAATAGAAAACAACATAAGATAGAAAAAACAAACCAAATAAAACAGTTAACTACTCAAGTCAACCTGCATTAAAAGCCAGATCAAATGAGTGTGCTTTAAGTAAAGATTTGAAATGTTCCAGGTTTTGTGTAGTCCTTAGATGCAGGGAAGGCTTTTCCACAGCCTGGGACCAGCCAAGCCCCTTCTCCCTGAGTTTTTAGATGAGTTTCTGGAATAATTTAGGAAGACTGCAAGCTGGATCTCATATTTCTGGTGGAAATGTAGATGGTCGCTAACTCACTGATATATGGTGGACCCGAATCATGAAGAGATTTAAAAACAAAAAGCAGGATTTTTAAATGAACCCTGTAGCACATAGGGAGCCAATGAAGAAAGGCCAGTAATTGGGTTATATGGTCACGCTTCCTGGTGCCAGTCAGCAAGCACGCTGCTGCATTTTGCACCAGCTGAGATAAATACCCAGATAGCAAAAATTGGTTGAATAAACATTGAAATAATGTTTTGCAGAAACATTGAAATTACATTTTTTGCTATCTGGGTAGCGCTTATGCACGTCCCACTTCCGCATTATGCTAAAGGAGATGCACCACTTCCTTCCAGTCCGCAGCCCAGCTTGAGCTACGATAGCGTTAGCTAACCATGACATTGTTTTATACACGTTCCCTCCAGGAGCTGCCAAAAATAAAAGTTTCAGATGTCCATAGAATATGCCGAACGACTTCTAAAAGTCCAGCCACAAAAGCCTCATCCTATATTTACAACTACGAGGGTATGTTACAGCTAATGTTTACATTAGCTTCGCAGCTAGTAGCTAAAGTTACTGATTCAGTTAGGAATGTCGTAACAGATCAAAATTTTCATCAATCCGTGTTTACTCCTTTCTTGATAAGACTCTTGTATGAGCACAATGTATGTTTTTAAAGTTTCATTTCCTTTTTTCCCATATCAAACAAAGACAGAGTGGCCGGAGCTGTCAGCATCAGAGCAGAATATCACATAACTATGCACAAAAGTGAAATGAACCACAAGCTGAGAGTTAGGGATGGTTGGGTGTTTGGTTCAGTTCCAGTTCCTACCTGTTCCATACAGTATTAATCAAGCCTCACGTTCCGTATCCATGTATTTCGCAAACTGTCATCTCTTGGGAAGTGATGAAAACTTACGGCAGAGTTGAATTTCCCTGACGTAGGGCATAGTGGCACACAGCGGAAATCCCCGCTAGGGTTATTGCACTTCAAATATTTAGTCGGCTGAGATTAAAGCAGCTGTTAAAAGTCCAGCTAAAACTCCTAATACCGGCTAACAGCGCTACCGGCAAGCAAACCGGAAGTCCTCCGTAACGTTTTCCGGTTCGTTCATGTGACTCAGTAAGGCCCATTCAAGGGGATTGTTCCAGACACTAGTAAAGTGAGTTGCAGTAGTCCAACCAACAGGAAACAAACATATGGATGAGATGTTGGAAAACTTCAGTAGAAAGATAATGTGTTACCTTTACTATTAACCTTAAATGATGAAAACCTGATGGGATCACTTTACTAAGGAAGGGCAAAAAAAAAAAAAAGCGGGCCAGGAATATACCCTGATGCTTCACAAATGATCCTATTAAACATCTTTTGAGAAGCAATGTCTGGAAATTAGTAGTAGATATCTGTAGATCATACATTTTTTTTATTTTATGACTCAAGCCCCTCAGAGGAAAATAAAACACTAAATAGGGAAAATAACACTAATCTAAACACAATAGGAAGAGGAAGAGACCATGCAAGAAAATCTAAAAATATCACAATTATTCATCATGAATAATTCTCAATGATGCAAACTGAAGTGTTTCAGAAAAATTTTAAGAATAATAAAATTAAGTTACTTTATAAAAACTGTTATAAGATGTGATATTCCAAATAAATACGAGTTATCAATCTGATTGGTCTTTTAAGAAGTGTAACCACCATTATCAGGTTAACAGCAATTAAAATGTGCTGTCTTATAACATTTTGCTGGAGAGCAGTCTTCAGCCACCAAGTTAGGCATCATTATCCAAACATTTCTTATTAAATTATCTGCAAACAGAAAAAAACAGGAACAAAAATAAAGTTGTTGCACATTCAGTGAAATTGAGGTTGGCTGTTGAAATTTACCAGAGTATTTTTTTTTCTGAAATAAATGTATTCATCTTATTTTTATTGAAACTTCTTTTTCAGTGTAATTAAACTAAAATATTTGGTTTTTGTGTCATGCAGCAGGAGAGAGCTGAGAGGGAACGTGAGCTGGACTATCAACCCAGGAAGGTAAGAGAAAGACACACACACACACTTTTTTCTATGCATTAACATACCACTGGGGTTAATTGCATACGTCTGGTTGTAGTTGTATAGAAATGCTCTGTGTGTCTTTTGTGACACTGCATTTATTTTGTTTCTGAAGGAGATGGCTGTGAGAGAAACAGAAATCCAGACCACAGAGAGAAAAGTAAGCAGATATCACAGATGTTTCACTAATCTTTGCTTTATCATTGCAAATTAAGGACTAAAGATTACACTTTGTTCTCCCAGGAGAGGTTAGGCAGGGAGGCAGATATCCAAACAATCCAAAGAAAGGTAAGAAAGGCATTTATCAAATTTACAATGAGTCTCTGTGCTCATTAACCAGAAGTCTATTTTAACCCTTTGATGCATGAATTATGAAATCTTCAACCATGATTTTTTAAACAATTTTTTTCATTCGTCTTTACGTGTGAATGAAACAAATTTCAACAAATATTTTTTGTCAAATTTTATAATTTACAAATAATTTATTACGTGTTCACCTCAGTGGACAGCGTGCATTCTGAGCATGAAATATGTTGGCTTGGCTTCCTGAAGTCCAAATGGAGCGGCTCAAATGCAATAAAGTCTTCAACAGCTGTGCTTAGTAGCAAAAACAAATAAATAACAGTTTTGAGTACCTGTCCACTGTAGTGACCATTATGCACCAAAGGGTTAATGTGTGCAACATTTTGAGTCTATTTAAGAATTTATTTCTCATGAAATGAAGAAGAAAAAACATGAATTTTATAAATATCTTACTCATCCCTCATTTATATTTTGACTTTCATTTAATCTTTTGTTTACAATTACTCATTCTTTTAGATGACTCGTGACATTTTCATTTTTTATTTTGCTTTTTATGTTCATAGTTTGAGTGCTTTTACTCACTTGACACTATTGAAGGTTGCATCTTCATTCCATGGAACAGAAAGGTATCAAACTGTTATTCATCAACTTTATTAACTCATTTTTATTTCATAGTACTTATGTTCTTTTATCTGCTGCAAGAAATAAAAATAAAAAATCATGAATACTATTTCACATTGTCCTGGTAAGGAATCCTTTAGAGTTGCTTGCCAAAACTAAAATGGAGAGGCTGCATCAGCACTTAGATTGTTGTTCACATCCCACGTTTTCTCCAGGCTACTTCCACAGAAGAAGAGGAAAGTGCTGAGGTCCTGGGAGCCCAAAAGGCCAAGGACTCTGTCCGCACAGCCCCATCAACCCAGGATAAACAGACAAATTGGTCAAAGGAAAACATCCCACCATCAGATCAGACATCTGGTGATTCTCATGCCGTCTCCTCATGCATCATTCCCATTAATGTCACAGGTAAACTAAAAAGATAAAACATGCATATAGCTTGACTCACATTGATAACAAGGAACCTTTTTGCCATGAAGCAAAAAGGTTCTAACACCAACAGTTCACAAACTCATAAAAATACTAAGATTTCTATTTAAATAACCTGGAGATCTAACTACAACACTGGTTGGCTCTGATCATAATTAAAACAACATACTATACAATATAGCATAGAGATTTTTTTAAAAGTGTAGAATTTTTACACAGACTACCATTCAAATGATTGGACACCCCATTCACTTAAAATTAATCTCCAGTAGGGTACAAATGTTTCACCAGTGCTATTAATACTGTGTTACTCTTAATAATTTTATGTCTAATAGGTTCTGTTGTTAATCCAGGAGTTGGGTTTGACAGGGAAGCAAGTGCTCGTTGCTCTCTAGTTCACTCCCAGTCAGTTCTCCAGAGACGAAGAAAGCTGAGACGAAGGAAAACGATCACAGGAATACCCAAACGAGTACAACAAGATATGGGTATGGAACGCTGGTTATAAATGCCTCGATTCCACTAGTACCGGCTTTGGCTGACACTACTCTAATTTGTGCGATTCAGAATTATGTCAAGAAAGAGAGGATTATGTTAACTATTACCCTTTTAGAAAAATGTTAGAATTATTTTCCTGTGTTCTTTGAAAAACTGGATTTGCTATTTTCTTTGCTTTCAGACTCGGATGAATCACCGGTAGCTAGAGAGCGCACAGTGATCATCCATGCTAACCAACTCACTCTCTGTCAGGAAGACATTTCCATAAGTGGTCGTCTCCATCACACTCGTGACTCTGGTTGCCAGACAGATGATTTCCTTATAGCATGTACGTTTCAAAGAACTGAAACACCATATGAATTTTTGTTTTAGCTGTGGGTACTTAAGGCTAATGCTAAATTGTAATCTCTTGTCTCAGGTGGATATTAGGGCTGGGCACTAAATCGAAAATTTACCATCATCAAAATTTCTGACTAAAGCCAATTTATGCTTCTGTGCCAGAATGGAGACATGCAGCGCCATTATCCGTCCTTGCGAGGGCTCTCCAGCAGGCTCGCAAGGACGAACAGAGTTGAGCCCACTTTTCTAAACATCCGTCAAACGAGACGGAACGTGCAAGCTTGTGACTGGTAAGGACGCCCTCAAAAACAAAGGAAGCCGAAGATTTATAGAGACAGACATGGAGCAGACTGAAGAATACCTTGTGGAAAAACTCTAAAAATATGAATGCTTTAGTCATACTCTGGATGAGTAAAAAGATGCAGCAAGTGTTTTATTTGTGGACAAAAATGACAGGAAACGTGGGTTTAGAGGTGGCGAACGCATGAAGAGGTGGAGGAGAATGAGGGACAAATTTGTCTTTGTTATAAAGAAAATACAAAAAACACAATATAAACACAATAGTAAATGCACCATCTTGGACTAGATAAATGACAGAAAACCTCAAAACAGCGCTACGCCCTCTGTTGTCCTGGCGGGGAATTGCATTGCAACAATCCCCAGGCAGACGAAGAAGTCCGAGAGCAAAACGTCTCTGTCCGTGCGTGTGCGCCTCTTCCCTGTGGAGCTGATGCAGAAGCATAAACTAGGCTTAACCAATATTCTTTTTTCCATGTCAATGAATTAAATTTTTAAAAATAAGGAAAAATGTATGTTGGTTGGCAACATTCATGTCCCTTTAAGAAGCTGTACCACCTCAAGTCACATGACAATGTGACTTAACGTAATAAACATAACAGCCCTATCTAATGGAGAGTTTTTGTTTACATGTAGTTGTCCATTTATCGTTATCAAGGTGGATTCCTTGATATACCGTGATATTGATTTTAGGCTTTATTGCCCAGCCCTAGTGGGTATGATAAAAACTCATAACCCTGCTCACTTTTGGTTTTTCTGTGGTTTATAGGTACAGCTGCACCCTCCAGAAGACGCATCAGAGCTCAGCGGGGCCATCAGGGAATTCCTGCCTCTTTGTCCCATTCAACGGGCAACATTTCCTCCCTGGGTGACCAATCAGACACAACTTACACTACAGCATCAGCTCATGGAGGTCGCTTACGTTCACGTAGCCTTCCACGGGAGGGTGGGCGTCTGATGGACAGTGACGAGGACGATGATGACAATTATGATGACGATGACGACGATGAAGAGTTGTCGCCTTATGAAGCAGAGGACTTTATTCCACCAGGGCCAAGTCCAAGGATGAAGATGATGATGATGAAGGATGAAGAAGAGAGCACAGATGACCAAGCAGCTCCTGAGCCACTGCAACTTGGAAGTCTGAAAAGGTTGCAGCGATCAGGTGAAAGAGACAGAGGGGGTGGAGGAGGAGGGAGCCCAGAGCATAGCTGGATGGAGAGAGGTCGTTCTCGCTTGCCTCGCAAGGCTGACATGGGTAGCTGTGAGATTTCATCCAGCTCTGATACTTTCAGCAGCCCTATTCATTCAGTGTCTACAACAGGAGGTCTTGGGAGTCATGTAGACCAGAAGGAGGATCACCAGTCATCAAGTGGGAACTGGAGTGGTTCCAGCTCTACCTGCCCCTCACAAACATCTGAAACCATTCCTCCACCCTCTTCTCCACCTTTGACTGGCTCTTCCCACTGTGATTCAGAGTTGTCACTCAACACAGTACCTAATGCCATAGATGAAGGGTTTTCCCTCGATCCTTCTTACCACTCTGACCTCAGACCACAGAGCCAGGGTCACAGGTCAAGTTCGTTTACATCCTCAGCCACAGACCAGCTGGATGATGCAGGAGTCAGTACGGCTAGCGAAGGAGAGTGGACGTACCCACCAGACCAAGACCAAATTGATCCTGACCAAGACCTGGACCACACCCAAAACCTGAATGAGAGCCATGAGTTAGTCCAAGACTACAGCTCAAAACAAGATTTAGATGACCAGACCTGTTTCAGTGAAAAGATGGGCAATACCGGAAAGGAGACTGGATCTCATTACCCATCTGATACAGAGTGTTTTTATTCATCCTCTGTGAATTTTGGGTCATGTAATCTGAGCTACACTGGATACAAATGTAACTATGCAGACCCTGGGCCTGATTGTTCTCAGTCCAACACTGTGGCAACACAATCATCCCATGGAGTTTACCCCCAGCCCTTAGTTGACTTCAAAGCAGGCACTATGACCATAGGCAGGACTTGTCGTTCGCTGAGGAAATCAAAGGTCAAACCTCTGCCACCTAAACGAACGTGCTCACTAAAAGAAACCAGTGGCAGTGTTGATGTGGGAACAGACACACAAGCAGATAAGGACCAACCAACGATGGTTAGTGAACAAGAACTTGCCTCGTCTTCCACAGATATAAAACTAGAACTGGACCTAGAGCTTGGAGGTGCTCCAGAACCACTACAGACATCTTGTCTAGTTTCACAGTCTTTGGGAACGTGGGGCATGGGACTGGGGGAAACTATGGATATGGTTGAGCCCATATCCTTCACCTCTACAGATACACACTCATTTAAGGATGATGGTGCTGTGCAGTCTGACTATGCAGACCTGTGGCTTCACAACAGCGAACTGAAGTCAAACAACTGTGAGTACACATCAATGTCCAACTCAAGCACAGCCACAGGTACCACTGTCATGGAGTGCATCAAGTCACCAGACAGCTCTTCCTCTTCCACAGAAATGCAAAGCCAGGCTACTGCCCAGGTTACAGAGACCAAGGCAAGCAGCCCACCTCTTCCGCCTGGAGACTTTAAACTTGGGTCACCTGAAAAATTAGCTGGCCTAGCTTCACCATCAAGTGGTTATTCCAGCCAATCAGAAACCCCAACGTCAACGTTGCCCTCATCTTCAGCAGCATTCTTCCCAGGACCTTTGTCCCCTTCAACTGGCAAGAGAAAGCCTAAAGTGCCAGAAAGGAAGTCTTCTCTCTCCTCCTTGCAGCAATTTCCTAGAGATGGAGCTTCCATTTCTTCTTGCACTAAGAGGGACAACGACTTTCCACCCCCACCTTCTCAACTTGATCTCACTATTCTCCATGGTGGCTACGTGAGACATACATTATCCCACCGGACATACCACATGCACACGCTCCACCATAGTAAACACAGAGTTGCTAATGTTTTAGCTGCTGAAACAAAGATATTGACCCCTGAGGTTTCAGATAGCAACCCACCTCCAAGTTCAAGCTCTGCTTCAACGATTCCCAGCTCAAGTTTACTGGCTATAACGCCATCTGCTCCTCGTTCGGTGCAGCTTCATTCTACCAGCCAATCTATAGATTCACAGAGTACTAGACCCAGATGCCCCCCCAGAAGTTCTACTCTGGCTCCTCCACCTGTTAACACTAGGCCTCTCCCTCCTCGCAGGCCACCACCCAGACCACCATGTCATGACCACACCTCCTCCCCTGAACATTCACAGCCACCTCCCCCTGGTCGCCATCCTGATGGACCTCCATCCTATGAAAGTCTGTTACTCAGGCAGGACCGCTATGGACCTGGAACCTTCTGGGCTATGACTGCCTTCAGAACAAGGATGGACCCATCATCAGACCTATCCGAAGACAGTTCGCCCCTGCACAGACCAGTGCCACGAGCTCCCCATCCCTCCCCTGTGGATTTGCACACACACATCCACTCACACGTAGAGTTCAGAGTGCTCAGCCATTCATCTCATTCACACTCTGAATTTAGGGTACTGGGAGAGCGTACATTCTCTCAGGAGGATGACGACGATGAGGATGAAGAGGAGGAAGAGGAAGAGCAAATGAAGGAGCCACAGAGAGCCACATGTTCTAGAGGCAGTATGCGATTGGACCACCCTCCACCCCCAGCATATGAATTTGTTGGAGGATCCCACTCAAACTCAGGGCCATGGGCTAGTCCAGTCAAAGTGCCTGGTAACACAGTGGAAACATCGCATCCTTACCTAATCAGCGATGCAAGAAAAGGCAGATATGAGGTGCAGGAAGAAGAGAAAGAGGTGATATCAGGTGCTACCAGAAGTGCCCATCAGCAGCAGACCCTGGAGAGCAAAGATGACTCTACCACTCCTGACACAGAGGATTATTTCAGTAAAGGTAAGCTTTTAAACTCAATCAAAATTGCTGTCACTGTACGATGCACGTAAAAGACTACAGACGATTGAATTTTCACCGTGTATAGTAAATGATCAGACAACCAGATGACATGTGATAGAGATGTTGTGTGCCACAGATTCCACACCCAGTGACAATTCACTCTCGCCTCTAATGGATGACGCCAAAGCAGATGAAGATATTCTCATCACATCACCTACTAAGAGCCGAACAACTGAGGACCTGTTTGCCATGATACACAGGTGCTTTTCATTTCAGAATCCATTTTCATGTTTTTGCCTTTGATTTCTGTGTGGTGTTTACATTATCTGTTCATTCTTTATTTAGATATTAATTGGTGATTTCTCTGATTTCTTCACTAAGGTCCAAGAGAAAAGTCCTAGGCCGTAAAGATTCAGGAGACCTAAATGCAAAGTCTCGTCTATGTCCAACAGCACCAGTGGCACCCAGCAGTGTCTGTACTGGTACTGTCCCTCCAGCTCCGCCTCTCACATTTCCAGCTGCTTTAGCCAATGCTGTTGGGTCACAGCGAGCCCCTGTGCCAATCTATCGCAGTGCTAAAAAATCCAGCACATCCAATGAGGAGTTCAAACTTCTTTTGCTTAAAAAAGGCAGCAGATCGGATTCTAGTTATCGTATGTCAGCCACAGAAATTCTAAAGAGCCCCATCACCCCTAAAACACCAGGAGAATCCCTTCAGGAAGGGTCCTTCAGACAAGTGGAGGAGCCATCTACCACTCATCAAGATCCTCTGATTTCTGGCGCAGAACCAATCCAGATACCAGGCCTTTTTCCCAGGGCCAATTCTGAAAGTTTCACCCCAAAATCACTGTCCATGTCAGCTGCATCTCGACAAGGACGTTCTCGGATCCCTCCGGTTGCAAATAGCAGTCGCTATAGTACACGCAGTCGCCTCTACACTGCCCCCATGCAAGCCATTTCTGAAGGAGACACAGAGAATTCAGATGGAAGCCCCCATGACGATAGATCATCATAAAAGCTCTCGATAACATTTTGTCTATGCTTAGTTGAGGTTTTTCTAATCTTGGATGCCAGTGTAATTGACAACAATGCCAGAAATCCGACTGATGTTGAAATGCACCAATTATAATTATATTACTCTAAGGGTGGAAGGCTGTTGTGATGAGGAATTATAAGGGATGATTGTTACATCCTGGGGACATCTCCGAATACTTTATAATGTAGAGATTAGTTCTTTCATTTAAAACTGCGAGATATATTTTGATTGAAAATAGTCTTCTTTCTTTAAAAAAATACGTAACTAGAAAAAACTCACTCTCCCAAATTAATATGTGGATTACAGACAAAGTATGAGTGCATGAACAAATGCATACAGTTCTTTCTGATCTTTCCACTTTTTGTGTTTTGAACGTGTGGATGTGATTTTGTCAACGGAGGACTGATTGCTTTCTTTTTTTTTAGATTTGGTATTCTTATAGCAAATGGTGCCCAATGCATCAACAAGACTTCCTAGAGTTTCTACTCAATATTCCTGCCAACAAGTAAGGTCTGCTTGATGTTCTAGTTACTAACAGCATTCTCAACTCAGCACCAGTTTAACTATAATACTCCCATCTACAGACCTGCTATAATATATTACACAGAGCCACTCTTATATTTGTCAACAGAAATGTCATCAAGAAAAAATAACTTAACATGATGCATGTATTTTTGTAAAGCTGCGCCTCAGAACATTATGAAAAGACTTCATCATGTTGCATGATCTATGTGGAAAAATCCCCTGGATCTTGGTTTCTGTCAACATTTTTTTGTGGTTATTATGTATTATGAGAAAAGAAAAGCTTTTACTGCAGAAGATTTGAGTTGCATTTATATCACAGTGGTCTAAATTGATTTATCTTCGAGGTGAGTGTCAAAGAGGAATGAGCAAGGGCTTGCACATATTTATTTACCACGCAGGCTAATTTTGGACAATCGCACAGTGGCCTTTCTCTCACAGAGGTGGTTGTAAGCAGGGCATTTATAGGTCCCTGTGTGTATACATGGAGCTGTGTCAAGGTTCAGCAGAATTAAATCACAACGCTTTTTAAAACTAACCTTAAAATGCATCGCTTAAGCTGGTTAAAGCTTTTCCAGCAAGAGTTTCTGTTTTGACTTGAAGCAGGAAAAGTGCATTTGATTGCAGACTTTGACAACACCATCGAGTGCAGACAGTGAAAATGCTCCAGACAGTCTGTTTGACTGGAGATCGATTTGTTTCACTAAAGCAACCTCACTTTTGCACTTCATGATTCACGAGAAAAGATATACAGTATCTTATGATAAAATCCATATGTATATTTCTACTGAATATAAAAACTTATATAGAAACAAAATAAAATTTTATGGGGAATCAATCTGAGTGTAGCAAAGAACCGGTGTCACTGACAGCGTTACAGAACCTTTTTCTTTCTTAGTAGTGTACTGTTCTCTCCTTGTTGCCTCTCCTTCATTTGCACTGACCCAGTAGCATTTAGACAGGTGAAAGCTCAACCCAGTGGCTGGTGTAATCCATGTTGAACCACCCTTCATACCTCATACATCATGGGATCTTAGAAAGAGAAGACAAAAGGACAAAAGTAGAACATTTAAGAGTCAGCAAAGTACCTACGGCACTAGAGCAGCCTTTACAGCCCAACGCCAGATAGTAAGGACACCACGAAACCTCTTTCATCATTCTAATAAATCATGCATGTACAGTAGCCAACAGGAGGAAACCAACATCAGCGGAAAGCTTGAACTTTCACCTGTCTACCACAGCTTACAGATTTCATACACTTTTATGCTCAGAGACCATACTTCAATTAAAACCATTCACTGTATTCTGTGAATACCTCAGAAAGCATTTTATCATAAAGGATAGATAGATAGATAGATAGATAGATAGATAGATAGATAGATAGATAGATAGATAGATAGATAGATAGATAGATAGATAGATAGATAGATAGATAGATAGATAGATAGATAGATAGATAGATAGACAGACAGATAGACAGACAGACAGACAGACAGACAGACAGACAGACAGACAGACAGACAGACTACAACTGCAGAACTGACACTGTGTAACATGGAGAGTACAAAGCTGTGAACTGACTGATATTTTACATTCATCATATTTCTAAAGCGCACTTGTTCCTGTTCATTGTTTTATTTGTTGTGTTTTTTATCGCATGCAATAAGTAAAGGGGGGGGGGGGGGGGACAGAGAAGAACAGCACCTATCTATTATTTTTATCTGCAGGATGTCACCAAGAGAAAAGATTTTGTATTTTCTGTTTAAATGTCAAGTTCAATGGTGTGTTCTATAGGTGTAAAAACTGTCTGGCTAATTCTGTTCTGTATAGTTGTGATCACACACACAGGGGGTTTTCTTGTACTGTATATTTACTCATTGGACAATCATACGTATAGGAGACTGTAAAGAAAATGACGTAAAATCTGCTGAGTGGGGTAATCTGTAAACACTTTTTGGTGCTGTGGGGAGTCCTAGTGATGTTGGAGCTGTGGAGATGAGAGAAAGATTTTTCCAGGAGAATCCACTGGTCATGATGAACATGCACATCTGGACATGCCGCTTTGACTCAAATGTACTCACAAAAAGAAAACTGACAAAGAAAAATGAATACCCATGTATAAAGTCTACAACTTGGTTGATCTGATCAGAGTCATTGTCTACTTTTGATTCTTCGTAGGATTTTTTTTTATTTGCAGAAGACATTATTGTTAAAAAATGAATTTAAAAATATTTAATTATACTTGACTATTTGTTTAGTGTGATTTTTCTGTACTGTACCAAGCACGGGTACCATCGGGATGTACAAAGACTGTTTCCTTTATTTGTAAAAGCAGTGAATGGCAAATTTATTGAAACTATTTGACTAAGAAAGAACTTTGAAGCTGCCATGGGCAGTTTTCACCCTCTAAACCCAAGTCCTAAGCAGCTTAGGATATACAAAAGAATCTAAAAACTTTATAGAGTTTATTGCAGACGTTTGTCTGCTTGCAAATTTGCCCTAAGGGAAAGTATTAAAAAACAATTCATATTTTTATTCAGAGGTGTACAGTATGGAATATCACTAAACAGACTTTAAAATATGTAACAGGCGAAAAAAATGAAAGACAATGAAAAAAAATTAAGAACCGAACCTATTTAAAATAGCTCCATGTTTAAAATTAGCTAGGATTTAACAGATTTCAATCAACTTTTGTATTTTTGTATAAATCTGTAAATAGATTTTTGAAGAAAAAATGGAAATTCTTTCCTTTTGTTAAATAAATCAATAAAAAAAACTTTGGAAAAAAAATTCTCAAGTTTTCATGATCATTTCTTCATGTCTTTGAGATGTGCTGTATTTCCTTTATAAACATATTCGTTGGAAGTTCACTCTATTTGTAACAATACATTGTTTTTAACAGCTCATTAGGGTGTCCTAATGAGAGGCCAAACAACAACCTTAGAAACCAGGTGCATTTAGACCCTCTCTCCACTAGATGGCAGAGTTTACATTTGTTTTGCTTGAAGGTTAAAAGAAACAGGAAAAAAAAACACTGCAATTACAATGACTTCTGGAAACTAAGCTAAATTTATAACTATCTCACAAAAAAGACTTACTTTAAACATATCTCCAAACCCAAAATGGGCATTTAAGTTAGAAAAAAATCTAACAATCTGTTAAAGGATATGAAACATTTCGATAAAAAGCTATATTTTTAATGAGCAATACCTCCACGGGGCGTTAACAGTTTTTCCTTTTAAAGCTAAATTAAAAAATATATCTAAATTTTATTTTTGATGGGCACAACGCTGGGTTTATGTTTACATCTACTAGCCACTAGAGGGCACCACTGCGCTAAAAAGTCCAGTCAGCAAGGCGAGGCTGGGATTGTGTAAAATGTCAGATTTGACAAGTCAAGCACCTGATTCTGAGCCCACAAGATGGGTTTACTAGTAGAAATTAGTCCTTATGTACGATTTGTCACTGAACATGGTACTGGAATGTGTCAGTAGTGAACCAACATCCAGACGGCTGGAAAATTTGTTCTCTTGTTTCAAAACCACCTATGAACACCAGTGTCCGTGTCCAACATACAACCTTTAAGGTTAAAATCAGTGTAGGATGTAGCCTTTTTCTTTTCTAATACATTGAAGTGAAACAGATTAATGTTCCTAAATCTACTTTACGCCAAGGTAAATCGTTAATATTGAACAAAATTTAAAGTAACAAATACAAAGGTGCTTAGCTGTAACTACCTGGACCACAATTACAAATTTGTAGTGGTTTTTTTGTTTTACTTGGAAAAATTTCCCCTTCTAAAATGAAAAATTGTTATTGGTCTCCTTCGGCTTTTACTGCATGTTCTTTTCAAAAATAAGATCACTAAGATCAATTTGTCCAACCTATATAAATCCAAAGGAATCTCCAGAAGTTTTAATGAGCGTGTTTATCCTGAGCGCTTCTGATGAGCCGTTTGAATGGTTGTTTGAACAAAGACTGCTATTGAACTGTCACATTCTGCAGATGAGACATTCACTGCTCTTTGACCCATGAACCCTTCAATCCCAATCACACACAACCAACCCTATACAGCACTTTCACTGTAGTCTTCTTTTGAATTCTCCTTAGTTAGCCAAACTCCTTTGTTCTCTCTTTCCCAATTAAAGCAATAATAAGGAGTTTTTTTTCTACTTCACGTTATTGCTGTCAAAGTGATTTCAGTAATTCTTGGGGTGGAAACTTTACCAACTTCAGATTTGACAGCACTCTGCAGCCAATCAAGTTCACTCATTTCAATACATTTGCAGTGGACTCTAGTAGGAATGAATGCCTTGTAAGTCTTTGGTAAAAGCTCAGATGCTCTTGTTTGAGGACGTAGAAGTTAGCTGGAGGAAAAAATGGCAGCAGATGGCAGGCTTTGGAGTTTCATTCCCTGATATTTGGACATCTTGCCTCTGATTGGCTAACAGCATTGCTGCTTTACCACTGACTCCATTTGCTCAGCAACGTTGATGTTTTATCGCTGCAAATAACGCAAGGCTTGGGGAGTTCTGCTGTATTGGGGAGATGCTAATGCTAATGGTTAGCGTCCCCTAGCTCGAGACATTCTCTGGTGTTTCCTGGACAGCCTTCCCCATCGTGAACAAAGATGGGAGTGTCCATCAATGATAAATGCTGACAGTGTGACATAGATCTGTCAAGCTTTTGTGAACTGAGCCTTTTCCCCCTCAATTTCCTATCAGAAGCTAACATTAGAAATAGAGGTAAAGGACTATTTTCACATTCAGCCTGCATGTTAACCTCAGAGTGACCATTTTCTAAAAAAAATGGTAAAAGAAATTAAACGTTTTCTCGGTGAACCTGGTCCTTAAGCTTTTATTCTGTTGGCATCATGGCAGGGCCTGGAAGTAAAAGTAAGACAGTAATGTCTTTGTACACAAAGCAAAGACCTAAAACCAGAGTGCACATCAGCCTATACTCGTTTAAGGAAGAAGCTGAAGGAGGCCATGAAATCACAGACTGATGGGGACATGGCTTTGTTGCTACTGTACTTGTATTATTTTTTGTTCAACAATGTGGATCTCTTGACTTCATCGCTTATTCAATATCAGTTAGCTTGTGTTAGCATTAAGTAATCGTTAGAGCTACCTGCAGCGGACCACGATAGTTGTAGTACCGCTTTCAACCAGTAGGAGGGAGAAGCGGAGAAACCGTTTCAGTGGTGCTTTAATAAAAATGTACTTTGGAACAAGTAATATTGAATTACAAGGAAACTTTACATGTGATTAAGGATCAACAGAATAACAGATTGTAAAACACTAATAGCAAAAACCTTTAGTGTTCAAAGATGAAACCGTCTGGCTGATGTAAACAAGTGTTTATTTGTGTGAATGCATAGCAAACATCTTTAACATCATGTGACACAGTAAAAAAACACATAGATACACAAGAAATGCTACAAGAGCAACAGATAAGGCATTAAAATATACATAATTTGTTATGATGCAGTCCCTCTATACTGTGGTAATGAACACAAAAATGCTGAGATGTAAAAGATTTTCTAAGAACAATCAACTCCCACTAAAACCTGAGTTTCACATTAAAGCAAGACGGTTTCAAGTATCGACTTGTTACCACTACACAAAAGGAACAATGATAAATGTGGCTACCACTTACGTGATTTGGCTTGAAGATGATTCTGAAATGTTCAGAAAATAAGCATTTCTGCCATCATGAAACCAAACACTTTCAAACTAGAGTAATTACTCAACACGTTATTGTCCTGCAGGTAGTTTATGTGACAGTGCACACAAAAACTATTTCAAACTAAAAAAAAAAAAGGTTATGAGGATGTTTGATAATACACTTTGTTATAGTACAAATTTTTTTTAAAAGATCTTTTTATCTTAGCTTTGTACAAAACCGTTTCCCTGTTGTTTTAATCTCAGGAAGATGCTTTTATTGTAACGCCAAAACACTTTAAGTGATATTTCTGACATTCTGAAGAGTGCTTCTGTGTAAAAAAAACGATAATTAATTTTACTGTATTAGATAGCTACCTAAACAACCTCTGTTGAAAGAAATGGAGATTCGTACTTACTAGACAGGTGAGCTAAGGGTTGTTAAAGGCACCGTGTACTGCTCAGAGAACTGCATTCTGGGATGTTAAGGTAATTTTAGCTAGCAGTGTAAATACACCAAACGCTGGAGAAGAGTAACAAATTGACTAATAAATTATTAGATTATGAAGAAATTATTAAAGCCACCAACATACGAACATGGTCATAAATCTGACGTCTTCATCATCTAACTTTGACGTCATTAGCATCAGTTGCTCATTTTGCAATATTAAATGAAGACGGTAGTGTAAGTGGCAAGCCGATCTGTGTGTGTAGCTCCCCCATGATGATTATGTAGAGCAAGGATGGGCAACTCCTGTCCATGAGGGCCACTGTCCAGCATGTTTTAGTTGTTTCCCTGCCCCAATACAGTTGCATCGCCTGTTCAGCTGGTCATCAAGCTCTGCAGAAGCTGTTAATCACCTGCTGAATAAAATCAGGTGTGTTGGAGAATGGATAGCGACCCTCGAGGACCAGAGTTGCTGTTGTAAAAAGGTTTCTAAATTACCACCAGTTCAGATAACTTTGAAGCTTTGTTGCTGGGTCTGATTAGAGCAGTGGTTCTCAATCTCGGTCCTGGAGGGCCGGTACTCAGCATGTTTTAGCTTTAACCTGCTTTAACACACCTGATTGCAATCAGCAGGTGATTAACTCATTCACTGCTATTGACGAATGAGTCATCAATTGCGTTTTTTAACAGAGCGGGCTTGGGAACGAGCTTGTGCACATTGAGAGTAAACATCACAGTTCTGAAGTTGGTTTTCACCTGTGTGTGTCACACGTCACGTGATCATGGAGCAGACAATCTATGAATTAGGAGACAGTTTTGGATAAGGCTATTTGGCTATGCCTAAAGCGAGGCGTAAACCGGAAAACTTCTGCAGCTCACACTTCGACAACGGATTGTGAAAGAACCAAGCCCCCACAATGCTGCTCTAAAATTGAGGCCAACACAGAAGTACCATTAATTGCAGTTCCA